CCCCCCACCCCCTCGTCCATAGGAGGTCCACTGTACTGTAAACACTTTCCATTATGTTGACTCACACTGTTAAACAGTCCTGCAAGTCCATTGAGATGCATTAAGATGTTTACTCTCTCAGTATCCATTCATGGCAAAAAAAAATTGCTCGTTCGTTAAAATAATGTAGTGTGAGCGTGAACCACTGTGGAGATATGTAAATGAATTTCGATGTCATAATTCAGCTGTTAGTTCGCTAAAAGAGGTTTGTGAGCGAAAGAATCAAAATGGAAACTGTTCTTTGGTTTAGGAAAGAGCTTCAGTAGCCAAAATGTAGAATAATATGAGAAGATGAGTTACGGTTCACTCACAATCGGGTAAAAGTGTTAAAATTTCAACCAGAAGTGGGTATACAGTACGGTGGAAATAAATCCTCACGCGAAGGTTACAAGAGCACCCCAAAGTAAACCAAAACTGGAAATCCAAACACCTAAGAATGTTGCACTGGCCACTATAAACTGGTATACAAATGAAACGGTTCTATTCAGTGATGAATCCAGTGGAGAACATCTCATGCCAGAGTTGGAGTGTCAATATAAAAGTAATCCAACAAAGGTCCCTTTGGAGTAGGTTACCATTCCAAATTGTCAAAAAAAGGGTAAAAATGTCATCCATCCATCCATTTTATCCTCACAAGGGTCGCGGGGGATGCTGGAGCGTATGCCAGCCGTCTTCGGGCAGTAGGCAGGGGACACCCTGAATCGGTTGCCAGCCAATCACAGGGCACACACAGACGAACAAACATCCACGCTTACACTCACACCTCGGGACAATTTTTTGAATTTCAATCATCCACTTTTTGAAATCAGTCCATAGATTTTCAAGTAAAGTTCAGTTGTGTTTAACTTTGAACGTCAATGCATTTGCATTGCAAACGTTTGCGAACCACTATCACAGATGATGTCATCGACGCAAGATCTTGGGAGTGAAAGTTGAGCTTCAACTGCTGACACAACACTTTAATCTGCATCCACTCACTCGTCAGATCACTGGTCAGCCTGCCGCCATGACTCCCGGATTAAGGATTACCCGGACGGCGCGCACTGGGAAACACGGGATTACACTGTGTGTGTGTGTGTGTGT